GCTAGTTAACCCTCTTTTAACTACTTCCCGTCTATCCTACACAGTGCACTCCGGGAACGTCGTGTACCAGCTGATGGTATTTGCAGCTTGTACCAATTCTATGTTGTTTATGCGACTATAGAGACGCATAAGAGTAGGTCCGTACCTACTATGGCTAACCGTTAGTCTAAAGCGAAGAACTTCGTGGTCAATTTTGCCCAGTGGTTCTTCCATGTTTAGACTAGTTATGTCCCAGAAATACCTTGTGATAACTAGATCTAGCAGCCAGGGTCTCTATTGTTCTCGGTATCTGGTTGCTCTTGTCACATGCTGTGCCAGAGCTATTTCTTGTAGAAAATGCAGGAATGCAGCCCCTGTGGATCCCGTAGGTGCATACCCCCTTGCCACCCCCCGGAGAATTGGAGTTGCCATTGATGACAAAACGGTGGCGGCGTTTGTTGTAGGATCATAAGCAACTCCGTATCTTCCTCTGGCATCGTATTCGTGGCTCTATATATACATACTACACCCACTTGCTTCCGCCCCATTTGAATGCAGCATCATGTGGCTTAGATATTCGGAGTAGCTAACTCTAGCTGCATTGCCCTTTGGTTGAGGTCAGCTTTGACTAGTAGCAGTACTCCATCCCCCTGTCTGCCGTCAGTTCTGTCCTGCCTATAGTTTGTATACCTGCTTAAATGAGCAACAGGTTGCTACTGTTTCATCCATGATTCAGTAATACTGACTATGTCTGATCCCCGGGTGAGTGCTCCTAATTCTCCCACTTTCTACTAATACTACAAGCATTGGTGTACCACACTGTGATACTTTCTTCTTTTAGATCTGACCTATCTATAGCATCAGATTCCTCGGGCGTAATGCCCGAGGAGCCACCTCGTCTTTTGCTATAACTTTGACGGTGGGCATGTCATCGGCTACCCATGACAGTCCACCTTTGGCTTGACCTATATTCGTAACTCTGAGACCTGACACTGGACTCACAAGTTCTTCCAGGTCCGCTGCCCCGCCGGAGCCCCGTTCACCACGACTGGCTTGTGCCAAATTGTGTTGGCCACTACTGTGGCCCAGCTGCGGGATCCAGTTGACCTTTCCGGTGTTTCCATTGGTCTTGTCTTGTGGTCTAGATGCTGTTCCCTTGCAGGAGTAGTTATCTCTTTGTCTACTTTCGTGCTCCTCTGCTTTACATGCTCCGTTTCCAGGGCAGGAGCGATGTTTCGGGAGCGACCTGGGTCTTCTTGGCTTTCGGTACTTTTTGACTTGAGGTCCCGCGCGCCGTAAGACACCCCTTGCCTCTGGCGTGGATTCACTCAAGGGTGATGCTTTCGGCTTTTCAGCCGGCTTAGTCGCGCTTGAGACGCTACCCATAGGCTTCTGTTTGCCTGTTACCTTGGTTCTGTGGAGCTCCCCAATTCTTTGCAACTTGATTTCAGGTTTGCTAACCGCAATCCCCGTCGGTCTTGTCACAGTCGGAAAAGGGGGTCTGTAAACCAGTGTACCATTGTTCGGGGTAATCGCTTCAGTCCCCTGAGTAACGGTTTCAACAAATACGGCCCTCGATAATAGCAGATCATCAGTATGCATGCTGCCGAATATCACCAGTAAGGGACGTGGGTGCAGTGCTTTTTCACTCTTCCACAGTCCCACCCTGTGACACTTTACGGTGCTCGTTGGGGGGGGGGGACATTCCCGCCAGGCGAAGAACATCCTGCACATGCCTGCGGTCCATCTTACGGGGAGATTTGCCATCTCTGATCGTGGGTTCGGCGCAGTTATGGAGCAGCAAGCTCTTCGCCTGACCTAGAATAGACTGGTTGGTCTGCTTCATTAGAGACAGCTCCTTTTCTGGGCGCTCCAACCTTAAGCCTATATCTTTCAGCTTCTTTGTCTCTTCTATTTTCGTTTTCGGCGTTGTACACCGAGGTTTCCCCGCCCTCATGTCTTGCTTTGATTCTGGTTTTTTCTACAATTTCCTCAACATGAGCAGAAAGCACTTTAGGCTTTGCAGGTCCCGGTGCTTTCACCCCAGATAACGGTCTTAGTTTGCCCTTGAGAATGCGCGAGCATTCTTCGGCTATATAATGAACACAAATCCACTTTAGGGATTTGTGCTCGGTATACAGATCATATGCCTTCCTGGAAAACTTCGAACACTCCTGATGGTACAAGAGATGACAACGATCGCACTGTATACCCTCGGCGGCATGCTTACTGCATTCACCACACTGATTTGCAACTTTATAGATAGCCATTGCCACATAAATTGCAAACGTACACAAAAGGTTTCTTTTACATTGTAAAAGATAAAAATAAAACCCAAAAGGTGTCGCGGACAGTAAACAGTAAAACCGTGTAAGAAAGAAAAAAGGATTTCACTCCTCAAACCTGACCAACAAGACTGTGGAGTGACATTTTAAATGATCACAACGTTAAACAATTACCTCAGTCGAAACTAAGGCAGTGACACTGAGGCGGAATATCGTTAGATATTCCACTTAGCACTTGAAAACGAATTACATGCAGAAGCACTTTAAAAATTCAAACCGCGCGCGAGATATGTACCGTGGTGATGGTTGATGATTGAACAGGCAAGTATCATAGCCTGCTTTACTTGTCGCGTAGGGATCAAGTGTCCGCGAATGTGCAACAAACCGTGCGAAATTTCTGTTTCGCGCGGAATGACATTACTTACCTCGGAATAGACCCGGTAAAAATAATGCACGGCGACAAATCGTTGAAGGTATATGCCTTGCTAAATAGCGGTTCAGATACCACAATAGTTAGTTAGGAAGTTTCCGAACTGTTAAGGCTAAGTGGCCCGGGAGTACGAATGAACGTTCACACCCTGGCTGGAGAGCAACATATGGTTAGTCAAAGGGTATCATTCGAAGTTAACCCCTTTAGCGATGATAAAGGCATTAAGGTAAGCACTGCATACACCATGGACGATCTATTAATGCCAAGAACTCAGGTACTGGCTAAGAAACAAGCGGCTCGAATAACCCACCTAAACGGTATAGAAAGGGAGCATCTGATCAACCGTAGGGTTCAGTTGATCATTGGTTGTGATGTCCCCCAAGCTCATTGGGTGATTAATGGTCGATACGGCAGGCCAAACGAGCTCTTTGCGATCGAAACTGCGTTGGGATGGTTGATTATGGGACCCTCCTTGAGCGTAACAGCTTGTAAACAAATGTTTACAATTACTCGGGAGAGGAAAACTAGCATCATGTTGGAGGATTTATACAACAAGGAGTTTGAAGACCTGCATACGATGGTCATACATCACTCCGAGGAAGATGGTCGAGCGCTACAAATAGCAGAGAAATCGATAAGCAACGACGGGAAACGGGTTAGCATCGGACTAACGTGAAAAAAACCAGAGACCATGCCGAACAACTATGTGCTAGTGATTCGGAGATTAGAATGCCTGAAAAGCAGGTTTATGAGAGATCCAGATTTATTTGATAGGTACAATAATTCATTGAACGACCACTTTCGAAAGGGCTATATCGACCGCGTACCTGACTGTCAACTGGAAATCGCGTGCAGACCTAGGTGGTACCTACCACATCATCCGGTGGTAAATCCAAAGAAACCTGGAAAGGTTAGAATAGTATTTGATTGTACAGTCACCTATCAAGGAGTTTGTCTTAACTAACATTTATTGTCAGGACCAATTACCGTAGCTTACTTAGTTGGAGTACTGCTGCGCTTTTGCTTAGGCAAAGTAGCTGTAGTAGCAGACGTACAAGAGATGGTTTTACAGGTTAGAGTGCCTGGCCGTGACTCGGGAGCATTAGGGTTCCCATGGTGGCCTGATGGAGATCTCAATCAACAACCAAAGGAATCTTGAATTATAGTTCACCCATTTGGTGCCACCTCGTCGCCATTTTGGGCGAACTACGCCTTATGCCGCACGGTCGAATCATTCACAGACATAGGCAACGATCGGGTGAGATGTGCAATTGGACGATATTTTTACGTCGACGACTGTTTAGCACCGTTTGACGACGCGGAACAAGCAATGCTTTTCGCGGATCAATCAAGAGTAGCGCTGAGAAAGGGAAATTTGCAGCTATGCAATTGGTTGAGCAACTGCAGTGAGGCCATTAGCAATATTCCAGACAGCGAGAGGGCGGTTGGTTGTGCACAACCAAATATGAATCTAGATGATCAGGAGCGTACATAAGGCATGAATTGGCTTATCGTTGACGATGCTTTCGTCTTCCCGTTTGAAGGAATCCGGAAGCCATTCACTAAAAGAGAATTGCTATCGTACGTCGCTTCTCTGTATGACCCTCTGGGTCTCGTTACTCCAATACTTCTGATGGGCAGAGTATTGATACAAGCACTCCATCGCAAAACCCCTGGATAGGATGAACTAGTCGATGAGAATGACCGGCGCACTTGGGAATCTTGGGTGAGGTTAACAAATTGAAGGAACTAGAGGTGCCGCGATAAATGGGGAGTGAAAACCAAACAGCCCGTGAGTTACCGCAAATGCACATATTCAGGGACGCGTCTGAATCAACTTACGGGACCGCAGTCTACTTGAGGGACAGCATAAATGGTAATGTTGTATGCATCTTCGTTATGGTTAAATTCTGCGTGGCTCTACTTAGGGTAGTTACCATTACTAGACTGGAGCTGGCGGCGGCCGTTGTAGCAATTACGTTGTGATACCATAAGCCACTGTTTGGGTGAGGGTGATCGGGTCAAGACGGGGAGGAGAGGTTCAGGCCTCGCCAGGTTTTCTATCAT